TGACTGAGGTGGGATCCCAACCAGGCAAAAAGTAACTCCATTCATTGGCTTTCAGGGAAATTGTGTGTGTGTCTGCACATACACACATATACACACTAAAACACACACATGAACACACGCAAACAGATGCACACACACTCATGTGTCTCTCTTTCCACTCCTGTCCAGAAACTCATCCAGAGTGAGACCAGAGAGAGGACCGTCCTCTTCTCTTTCTGCCATTCCCTCCCTCCGTGTGTGTGTGTGTGTGTGTGTATAAATGACGTAAACCCATCCCACTACAAGCTGCAGCTGCATCCCATAATTACACAAAGGCACTACAGGAAATGAGGCCGAGTAGATTTCAGAATAAAGGGATGCAATATTAGTGAAAGTTCAGTTTTCAAGTACTGTAGAAACACTATGTTCTCTATGGACTTTGGTCTGAGCTAAAATCCCTGATTTTCTCTGTGGACTTTGGTCTGAGCTACAATCACTGATTTTCTCTGTGGACTTTGGTCTGAGCTAAAATCCCTGATTTTCTCTGTGGACTTTGGTCTGAGCTACAATCACTGATTTTCTCTGTGGACTTTGGTCTGAGCTACAATCACTGATTTTCTCTATGGACTCATTTAATCCAGATTTAGTGTGAGAACCCGATGGTTCTAGGTCTAATTTGGATTATTCTCAAAAGTGTTTCACCTCCTCCCCCACTGGAGGGGCAGTGGGGGGACACCCACACAGTGTCCTCCCATCATCCCCTTCTGTCCCTGTCTACTCCCACAATCCCCATGCCAAGCCTTTCTCCCCCTCTTCCTTACCCTCCTCACCACAGAGGTGTAGTCACTCTCCCCTCAGCCCCTGCTCATGATCGTCTCTCTCCCCCCTCTCCTCTCTTCCTTCCTCCCACTGCTCCTGCAGCAGACTGTGTCGGAATCTTCTGTCAGACAAACATGGCGCCTGTGTTTTATGACCTAAAATTATATATTGATTTTCTATGAGGACTGAGAGCAGTTTGATGAAAGGACTTCCTGATACTGTTACCAGTACTGTTACTGTTCATCACCGGTACTGTTTGTCACTGTTTGGACCTGTATATTCCTGATTATCAGTCCGACTTGTAGACCATCACTTTGTGGTCAACAGTGAGTCTGTGGAGGGCGGGGCAAAATGGAATTTTGAAGATGCCGACCGAATTATGTGGTGTTTCACGGTGGCCAGCAGGGGGCGACCTGACTGTCAGATGATGTAACTGAAAATGTGAGGATGACTCTGTTGTATTCTGACTAAAATAGCAGTGACACGTGGTATAAACAACGATGTTTGTTAGACACACACACACACACAGCCTCAGGCAGATACACTGTGGAGGAAACCTATTATCAGGTCAGCAGTAAACACACACACACTCTCACACACACACTCTCACACAGAAATAAAGCTTTCATGTTTCTATTTAAAGCTGTGATTAAGCTGAATGAAACAGAGCAGAAACCAAACACACACACACAGATGGTACCATCAGCTGTTTTAGGCTTCACTTCATCCGACTAAAAGTCGACCCTTTACCTCTAAAGCTATATATACATACATATATGTACATATATACATACATATACAGTATATGTATGTATATATATACATATATACATACAGATATATACATATGCGTGTATATATGTATGTATGTATGTATGTATATATATATACATATATGTACATATACGTGTATATATGTATGTATGTATGTATGTGTATATATATATACATATATGTATATATATACACATACATACATACATATATACACGCATATGTACATATATGTATGTATATATATGTATATATATGTATATATATGTATATATATACACATACATACATACATATATACACGTATATGTACATATATGTATATATGAATTTGTGTATATATATATATAAATGTTTATGCCTTGGTAATGTTATGTAGTTTGATAGCCTACATTTGTAATGTTGGATTCTTTTCCCTCCTCGTCTGTGTGTTAGTGTTGAAGGAAGACTGGAGTGAGGACGTCAACAAGAACAAGAACCTTGATTTCTAGGACACAGAGGGAAATGGCTAGAAACGTGGTGCGTGTGTGGGACACAGAGGTAGTCGCACTGAGTACATTTTCCTAATATTCTCAGTCATCACTTCCCTCCTCACTCACTCTTTTGTGTGACAGTAAATGTGTTAACAGAAGCAGGATATCCTGACTTTTACCCTCCCCCTCCCGACACACACACACAGTCAGACTGTTACACACTCTGCTGCCTCGTACTTTTTTACACCAACACAACCATCGGTTCTGTCGAACTGGGACGAGGGAAGAGAAAAAACGTTTTTTCTTAGCTGAATGCTAAAAACAACAACACAACTACGGACTAATTATCCCCTTCAAATAATTAAAACAATGTTGACAACCGACAGTCAACTACATGAAGTCAGACCCCGAGCTTCGCTTAAAAACTAAAACCACAAAACATAAGAAAATATATAAAAATGTATGTAACGAGCTAAAAAGACGAAACACACCAAAGTAGTTAGCAACGAAACGACGTCTAACGCTAGCCAAGAAGAAAACAGTCAATACTTTAGCTAATGGTTAGCCAAGAACCAAACGTGTGTGAATGCTAACAAAGAAGGTAGAACAGTCGACCAAGAAGACGCAGAAGATGTGGTCCAGGAACACACCTGGGGTCAAGAGGTGACAAACTAAGACTAGCTAAATAAAAATCACTATTGGATAAAAAAATATATTTTTACAGAAGTGTTGTTTCAAGAAACAACTCAGAAAAAACACAAAACACAGACCTAATGCATTGTTTCTCAAAGACTGGGTCGCGACCCAAGAGATTTTTTGGGGTCGTCTCACAGCATGTTTCCCAGGAGTTTATGAATAATGTCTATTGACTTGGTTTGTGATAATATGGGTCCCCAGAAAAAAAGTTTGGGAAACACTGACCAAATGACTGACATCACAGCATTTGACCGACTGTAAATGGACACTTTGTGTTTGTTTGTTACTCTCTTCTGTCAGTGGTTCGGAATTCAGACACAAACTGAAGGAAGTCTGTGGTTCAAAGAAGAAAACAGTTCTCTGTGCTCACAGGGGATAAAGAACCGATGTCTGTACTGACTCCCTGACTGTACGAACAGCACACACACACACACACACACACACACACCCATCCATCGTCACTCATTCTCTAAAAATACAGGAGGTGTGTGTGTGTGTGTGTGTGTGTGTGTCTGAGACCACAGACGTGATTCACTGGGTCTGTTCTGTTTTGTCAGAACCACAGTTCCCAGCAGTCACTTCTGCACCAATCAGGTCCAAACCCTTCTGAGCCCACAGAGGGACCTGGAACCCGGGAACAGTCCTGGGCCGGTCCAGGGTTCTGTCTCAGTGAGACAGTGTGTTGTGGTCCAGTCCTCAGAGTCCAGGTCTCTACAGAAAGATTAGAGTCAGGGTCCAGTCTGGACCTGGACCTGGACCTGGACCTGGACCTGGACCTGGACCTGGACCTGCTGCAGGGTTCTTTACCTCTTCCTGCACTCTGCTTCTCTTCCATCACACTGATTTGGACCCTGAGTGTGTGTGTGTGTGTGTGTGTGTGTGTGTGTGTGGGTGTGTGTGTGTCACTCACCTGGTTCATGGTCTTCAGCTCCTCATGGTTTCTGAAACGTTAGACTGGTTCCTCCTCGATGTTTGGACACTCTGCCTCTCTGTCTCCCTCTCCCTCTGTCCCTCTTTCTCTCTCTCTCTCTCTCTCTTCCTCTCTCTTCCGCTCTACCTCTCCCTCCTCCTCTCTCTCTGTCTTCCTCCCTCTCTCTCTCCCCTTTCCTCTTTCTTGTCCTCTGACTCTGTAGATCCTGAGTTTTCTGTCAACTGTTTTTTCTCCGTGTTCTTCCTCTGTCCTCCCTGAATGTGTGTAATCTGGGTGTAATCCCATTCTCTCTCTCTCTCTCTCTCTCTCCCTCTCCCTCTCCCCCTCACCCCTCTTACCCCCCCTCTCTCTCTTAGAATTAGTGACAGAGTAAAGAGGGGGAGGAGCACGTGGATAGATCATAGGGACAGAGCCACTGCCTCTGTGTGTGTGTGTGTGTCTGTCAGTAGTCTGTCATGTGATCAATGTCATGTGACCTGAGACGATAGTAGGATGAGCAGCTGTTGTTGTTGTTGTTGGTGGTGGTGGTTCTCTGGTTCTCAGGAACAGGAACCCAGTGGAAAACATCTGGTCTTTTGGGGAATAATTGTGATCATAATGTTAATGTAGAAAGTGCCAAATTCATTGAGGCCAATTGTTTTGTGCCGTAGAAATGTCAGAATTGTATGTTCATTATTTTTTATTTATTTATTATTTATCATTATTTATGAACATTTGTTGAAACTGAAAGTTTTATAGAAATGAAGGAATTTAAGACAGAAAAATGAAGATGAATTTGCTGTGAGACGTGTTTCTACCTTATGATTTTCATACAAACACACACATACACACACACAATGGTCGGTGAATCCATGTGTGTGCGTGAGAAGAGTAGGGAAGAGGAAATCCTGGTGTTTCCTCTGCTGGAAACTCCCAAACCTCAACAACAGGAAATAGAGACTGGACCACACTTAGACTAGACTGGGACTAGACTTAGACTAGACTGGGACTAGACTGGGACCAGACTGGGACCAGACTGGGACTAGACTGGGACCAGACAGGGACTAGACTGGGACCAGACTTGGACCAGACTTCTCACACCGGTCTCACAGAGCCACATCGTTAACTTTATTTAACACAGGTCTACAATGTCAATGCCAAATGTCATTAAAAAAGTTGATCGAATCAAAGTCCATCGTTTCGATGCTCAGAGGTTTCCACTGGGTTAATGAAGAATTAACAATAACGTTCACATCTTTTATTTCCGTAGATACAGGCACGGCATCATCTTTTAACAGCTGCAGTACTGGAATTAGACTATTGGCGGCAGTAATGCAACTTTTGTTTTGAAGGCACCAACAGCCGAAGAAGACTGTCTACGTCACTCACTCCGGTCAGTTTCCTCTGTCGTGTCCTGGTCGCCAGCCTTTAACTCACTGTCACCGGATTATTTTTTTTAGAAGTAACTTTAAGTATTCCTGGATTTTTAAATTATTCAGTTGTTGTGTGACGTCACGGTTGCTGGTGGCTTTTTTAACTTCCGTGTTCGGCGGACACTAACGGCTGAGCTAACTGAGCTAACAGAGCAGAAGCTGGAAAAAGAGGAGAAAAAAAGAAAACACGGCTTCAACAAGGTACAGTTTAAACTTAGTTAACCTCGCTTTAATAACATTAGGAAAAACTATATTTTTAGTTGTAGTTTTGTTGTTGTTTTTGTACATTTACAGAGGTGTCATAGTCATAAACACTGAACTATTTTGATCTGGAAAAATACTTAACACCGGTAGACACTAGTACCAGGAACCACAGACAGTACCGAGAATTGTGTGCTTATTACCGTTACCATAGTCAAGGACTGTTCCGGGAATTGTGTACGTGTGTCTATAATAGGAACTAGTACCAGGAACTAGAGTCAGTACTGAGAATTCCGTGCATCTGTGTACTGCAATTGACCACGAACTACAGTGTCAGGGAACATGAACAAGGAACCAAATGTCTCTTGCCTAGAACGAGGATTCGTACCTGTCAGTGCCAGGAACCTTTGGTGGTTCATGTTCACGCAGCTGCTGGTGCTTTATTGAAAGTTCTGGTAGGATTATGTAGCTAAGTTCTCTGGCACATTAGGAAGAGACAGTGCCAAGTTCCGAACATCAAAACATTGATGTTCCATACCTACCGACAGAGCCGTCCACCTGTGGCTCAGAAGTTAGAACCACCAAGAAGAAGTAGGGACAGATCAGAGGAACTGATGACAGTAAGAGGAACTATGTGGGTTCCGAGTGTGGAAACCAGGTACTGAGTTTAACAACTGAGTCAGATTTTCATTCTCAAAACAGTCTCCGTGACTGTCAGGGAGTACAGGAGTAGTGTAGAACACGGTCAGTGTAGAACTTTGGTACTGCAGGTTCAGGCAGCAGAGGAACTAATGAGAACTGAATACTGACCAGAACTTCACACTGAGCAAGAACCACACGGTTCCTACAGTACTTTCTGCTTCCAAGGGTTTATACCTTTTTTTATTGACTATGTCAGTGTTTCCACCAACACTATATTATATTTATAAATAAACATTCATTTCTTCATGGATTTATTTCTAATAGGAATGTTTTTAGCTCTATTTACAGGCTCGAATGAATGTGGCTGATGTTTGACATCAAATAAAAACAAGTTTTCTGTTAGGATTTTTTTTTTTAACAAAAGAAATTAACATCATGAACATCATTTATTTTACATTGTCTACTTTTGTTTTTATGAGCAAATGTCTAGTAAATGAAAAAATCATTAGCATCACTTCTGGTTTTTTAATGTCTTCCAGGGTCCTTGTCCAACTGAACCACATGTCCTCATCTCATGTGAGAGGAGCGAGAATCACAGGTGGCGCCGCAGAGCAGCCCACAGTGAGGAGCGAGTGTCATAATGATCCGTTTGTTCTTCACCAGCCCGGGGTCTCATCCGCTCGCTCCGACCCGGTCATGATGAAGACGGCCAGGATGGAGCTGCTGCGGGCGCTGATCACTCAGTGTTTGTCTGCAGCCGCCGAGGAGATCTTCAGAATCGCTGAGAGGACCATGGCCGAGTTTGAGGAGGAGGTGCAGTCCTGCTCCAAGTGGGTGGTGGATGAAGACCACAGGCTGCTGGACATGGCAAGGACACGAGCCGAAGGTGGGCTTGAAAAGTGTCACTTCACCACGGAAACAGACGGGTTCTCTGGTTCAGGCTTGGCTCAAAGTTCAGACTGGGGTCGAAGTTCAGACTGGGGTCAAAGTTCAGGCTTGGGTCAAAGCTACAATTGACTACATTTTTACCATTTCTGTGAGAACATCAGCTGATTGAAATGTTGAACGTTTGTTAGCCGTCTAAGGCTAACTTTTAGATACTGTTTTCTTCTTTTTGCTCATTGTTCTTGTTCATGTTATTGAAAGTTCCCAGAAGATTATGTAGATCGGTTCTCTGGCACACAAAGAAGAGACAGTGCCATGTTCCTAACATAATAGTTGACGTTCTATCCCAAGTGGGAACAGTTTTTGCCACCTTAGACATTTTTGCCCCATGATGTGTTGTTGTGCTCAGTTATGGGATGACTTCACTTCAGCCAGGCAGTAGTTGGGGAATGAACAGTGATTGGTTAATGATGGACTGTAACAACATTAGCTGATTACAGCTAAGTAAGCTAAAACGACCATCTTCACTGGTCTGGATGATCTTACTGTGATAGAGGAGATCAGCCCGACACAATCAACAAGTCAGTTCAAAGGTCACCATGCTGGAGAACTCAGCTGAGCGAGTGTGAAGCAGCTGCAGCTGTTAGCATAGAAGCTAAAAACAGAAAACCGGTCTGGATGTCAGAGACAGTGTTGGTAGTTCTTGATGACCAGAACCAAAGATCCCACCAACCAACCAACTCAGCTGTGCTTCTCAGGCGTGTCACTTCCTGGTTTGTGTCATTTGGTCAGTTTCTGTAAAACTTGAATATGCAGTTTGATGGTCCTTGTGAAGACCTTGTTCTCGTGGAGACCCAGTTCTTGTGAATTGGTCGAAGAAGCAAAACAACGCAATAATAGTTTGGACTTGGAACTTCACCTCATCTCAACCCTTTGCTGTAGATTGTAACTTCTAACAGTGAGTGAGAGTCAATGAGTGATGTTGATGGTGGACCTGAATGGTTCAGTTTCTATTGGTTTCTGTCTCTGGTATATTCTTACCTTCATTTACTTTGTCTTGTTTGTAAACATTTTGTTTTCTGTTCTTCAGAAAACGCTCTCCAGATGACAGACGTTGATCTGAGACTCCAGCCTCCTGCTGACATGGACTTGAGCTGTGAGGATCTGGGTGACACCGGGTCGGACCTTCACTCGTCTGCTGCGGCCGACGGCGATGAAAGCGATCAGGAGATACTCATGGACATCAACAGTCGAGACGCAGTTTTGAATCCAACCAAACCGTTTCACTGTCCCATCTGCTACCGCGGCTTCTCCTATAAGAAGACCATGGTCCGACACTTGAAGAAGCACCCGGAGGAGAAGTCGTCATACTGCTGTCGCCTCTGCCAGAACTCCTTCTGCCGCAAGTCTGACTTCATCTACCACCTGAGGAAACACGAAGGCCCTAAACCCTACAAATGCCAGTACTGCGAGAAAAGCTTTGAGCAGAAGGAGAGTCTGTTCGCTCACAGACGGAAACATGTTGGAGAAAGTCCAAACCAGACCCTGTCCCAGAACAGAGACACAGAACTGCTGGTGAAACCTGTGATCAAAGCGGAAAAAGCGAAGGTGGTCCAGGACGAGTCCAGCGCCAGAACTTCTCCACTGACAGTGACCTCCTACGACAGCAGCGAGTTTGAGCAGGAGTCTCTGCAGCCGCTCCGTCTCTATCAGATCCAGACGGTGGTGGACATCGACGAAGACTCTGCAGAAGAGCTGGCCAGGAATCACCTCAGAACAGAACCCATCAGAACTGTCAAACCAAGGTCAGCAGAGGTCGAGCTCACAGACCAGCTGCTTCCTTCTGCCGTTGCCCTCAGCGAGGCGGGGTCCGATCCAAACAGACTTGGGCCCAACCAGATCCTGTGCACGAGGCGAACGGGTCAGACCACTAAAGTCCTGGTGCAGTTTGAGGAGGGGACGGCAGAGAAACCGTACAAATGTCCCTGCTGCACCAAGTGTTTCTCCCTGACCAAGACGCTGCTGCGACACGTGAGGATCCACACGGAGGACAAGCAGTACGAGTGTCGCTTCTGTGGACGCATCTTCTGTCAGAAGTCAGAGCTGGTCAGTCACACCAGGGTCCACACCGGAGAGAGACCGTACCGCTGCAACCAGTGTGACCGCTCCTTCACACAGAACAGCAACCTGGTGTCGCACCTGAAGAAACACGCTTTAGAGGACGGAACACAGTGAGTGGGGACCCCCCCCCCTCAGTCCCTAGAACAATCAGACTGTCATGCAGACAGAGACATATTCACCACCAACTTCACTGAAGCCAAGGACACGCCACAAGACAGAGCTCAGACTTACCCATGTCACTGTCAGAGAGTGGGAGCTGACCCAGCTGGGTCAGGCCCAGATCTGGTCTGACCCAGCTGGGTCAGGCCCAGATCTGGTCTGACCCATGGTGTGTTCAACATGTGTAAAGACTGTGAAGGTCCCCAGCTTCAGCAGTGTGCTCTTCACTAACCTGTCGGTGTGGGTAGCCAAGTCAAACGGTTATACAAATATGAAAAAAAAACAAAGCATTATTTTTTTATGATATGGACTTTTAACTACACAAAGTGCTGCTAGTTAGAAACACTGACAGTGGAAAATGTAATGTTTAACATACAGTTTGAAAATGAAATCTATTT